CGGTTATGAATTTCCAAGTATCCTTGAAACACTCGGCAAATTGCTAAATTTGAAAGGAACGCTACCAAGTCGACGAAAGGCGTACGAGATGTACCACAGGGGAGCGAAACTTGGGTCTGTAATTTCCCAGATCAATCTAGCAGACATGTATCGATGTGGTGTTGAAGGAGTCGTGAACAGAGACATCAAAGAAGCTTTCAAATGGTATAAAATAGCGGCTGATGAAGATGTGAGTGCTTATCGAAGTAATGTGGGGGTCGATAAATTGTGTTCTGTAACGATGACCATGGGAAACGCCGTCCTTACAAGATACAAGGCTTTGGAACTTATATACAAATATTACCTAGAAGGTGATTGTCCGGAAGGCAAACCACAACCAACGAAAGCCGTTCACTATTTGACTAGAGCAGCTGAACAGGGTCATAATGAGGCACAGCTAAAGCTGGGACAAATCTACTTGACCGGAAGTTGCGAGCAAGTCAAAGACATTGCAAGAGCAAAACGATGGTTCAGAAAAGCTTTAGCAGGTGGCGATGAAAGGGCAAAACAGGTAAGATATGATGTATAGGTCGATTCACTCCCCTCCTCATCCTCCAGAAACATCCTTTGTAGACGTAAGTTCACTTTGATGCAGGGAATATTTACGATAATTTACTGCCATCATCAAGAATAATGCAGTTTGTCTTAGTCGTTTAAAAAGCGTATCAATACTATCAATACAATCTTATATTATGTCTCCATAGCATTCTGAAAGTCACTGTATTAATATTTGCACACTGTGATCAGGGTCCGGACTAAGGGGGTTGGTTGAGGGGTGGGGGGAGGCATGGGACCCTAATTCCTTGTTCACAAAATCCTGTAGGGGCTTCGCAGGAGACTACGTGTAATTTAGGTCATGTATGTACATGAGCATCCTAGATTACCTGTTCCCTAAGCCAGCCTCATTTGAGATTTTCGGATGTAAATAAGTTTGTGTATTTCGCCTTTATTGCCTTGATTTCATGGCCCTAAAATGCAGGCCCTTTTGTTCACAGCCAATCGATTCAGAATTACACTCCAAAGGGGAAAAAAAGTATCCTCTAGAACACTTGAATATTGATAAAGTGGGCTGTGGAAAAGTTAAGGTGGAGAAATTCTGTTTCATGTAGAAAGCCACGTTTTCACGAGTGGAGAGTATGAATGCAAGTGAAGGTCAACAATTCTTGTGAATTGAAGGGAGTCATTTCTCAGAATGTTCTGAAGCAATTCCTGGAACTCTACGGTATATAAATTCTGTGTTTTGGCTAAATTTGTATTCAACCTGGCTTTGTTGTACAATGGAACCTCGTTAATACAGTCACAATGGGCCAAAAAAATTGGCCGTATTAGGGTGGCCATATTACAGGGGTAGGCTCAAATTTCATGACTTGAGGGCTGTAATGACAAATACAAGAAGAATACACCATACATCGCATTCACCGTACTCACCGTACTCATTAATAAACAACCGGAATGTAGATACATGTATTGCGTACACTATTTGGAAAAACTTTTTAAAGTTTTTCTTCAATACATGAAACTCTTTAAAAGTTCTGCTATAAATCGCCACAAGTGCATTTTCAGTGTACTGTAGTCTAAAAACAGTACAAGGAAAAATAAGCTTAGATAACTGGATAAATAAAATTGACATGTCACAGGCATTTTAATTTTCTAAATTTCAATCGAGTGGCCGCATTAATGGGATGAAATTATAAGGGATTCTACTGTTTGGTATTTTAAAATGTGGCCTTTGGCTGTATTAATGGGTGACTGCATTAATAGGGTTTTTTTTATAAGAAAATGTATGGTCGTTTTGTGTGGGACGAAAAAAAACTGGCCATAATAATTAGGTGACCGTATTTATTGAGGTGGCTGTAAGGCAGGGGTTCTTTTGTATTTATTTAAGCTTAATAGAGAGGAGAAGCGTGACATCATGTTACCATGGTAGCAAAATTTTGGGATGACAACAAAAGGGAGCTTAGGCAACCGCGACAGTGATGGCAACAAGAATGGCAAAAAAAGTTTATATTAGTAGTAAAATGTTATATACACAGCAGAACCAAAAATTGAAAATGATTTGATACGCTCACGAGTATAATGAAGCAGTTTATTATCGAACTTGACTGGAAATTCAATCTTTCACTCACTTCCGTGCTCTAAACCTTACACCTGTAGACCGTTTTTTCCCTTAATTTTTAGGGGCTCAAAACATGGTTCGAGTTATAGAGGGTAAAATTATATACATTTAGAGATGACCTAAGGGGAAACAAAGACTACTTTGAGTTAGCTGGAGGTTGGAGTTACCTAGCCTGGGCTCAAGTTACCGAGGGTAAAATTACAGTAAATGTATGACAGATGGAAATCCAGGAGAAATCAATTTTGGTTTCAGTTAGTGCGAGGTTGGAGCGAGTGAGGGTTCAAGTTATTGAGAGTCAACTATAGTTATTTGACACTATTAATGGCAAATCAAAAATAAAAAAGAAACTGCAGCCGATTCAAACTACAGTAAAAACTGCATGTAAGAATCTATTGATTTAAGAACCTACAGGCTGAAATTTGGCATTTAAATACCCAAACATACAAGAGCCTGTTCAGCATGGCAAATGAAAATAGGTTCGTATATTAAAAAAGAATCACTCCAATTTTGATGGTCAAATGCTGGATTTTAAATGTGTAAGAAACTTCTGACGAAAAGTTATTGTGAATATGTTTTCTTTGATTTAACATTTGTTTGACCACTTTCACTAGAAATATATTTTTCCACAAAGTTACAGTTTGCAATATAGATGATTTAAATCTAAATATCTTATAAATTAAAATATTGATATGTGTTGATGTTCTTCTTGGACCTTGCTTGTTTTATTATCAACCATTATGTATTAGTAGTGCAATATTTCTGTCAATGGTTACACTGTGACAACCCCTGAAAAATAAGAACCTATTAAGAACCTAATCAGCCTGAATTGTGAAAAACTACCCTAAACTATAAGAACCTGTTCAGCCTCACCTCGAAAATTCTAGGTTCTTATATGCGGGTTTTTACTGTACTTGAAAATATGCCATACTTTACTCACAGCACTTCACTTTCCATTGGAAACTACTAGTTGTAAGTAGTAGATTGGCTGTTTTGAGTAAAATGTTGAATTTAGATGAGTTTCAAGTCCATTACTTTTCATTCCTCAGCATTAAAATGGGAGTCGTAGTTCCTCACTACTCACAAACTGAGAGAGAGAGAGGCTTGATATGATAGTGCGTGTCCTGCAGTGCTTGTGACATATTGCTCACATCACCTCTCATTTCTTCATCCAGCTTAAAATTTACCATCTTTCTTTATTCATCACACAAATGACAATTCGGGCATTGCTGATTGTAGCAGTATGCAGGACACATGGCTTACTTGAACCTTGATATGGTGCAGCTCGCCACGTGTCCTTCGTAGCTCAGTGGTTTGAGTGTATGTATCAAATAAATACCAGTGTCTTGGAGCATCCTGTTTCCTTGTATAAGTGTATCAAAGTCATATTGCCAACTCATATATATATATATATTTTTTTTTTTTTTTTCTTTTTGTCATTCACTTTTTTTAGCCTAGAACTATGATTAGTACGACTATCTAATATATTTGTTTTAAGATTTACTGTAGCTCTGCCATTGATTTTCCCATGCGTATTTTTGATAACATTTTGTTCTAATTATCTAACTGATAAGCCCAGTGGCTTCTCTTGGGCTTCCTCGCTATGAGAGTTTAAATAATTAGATTTTTTTTTGCTTTGTACAACTTATGGCAAACAAAACAATAAACAATAAACATCTTGTGCTCTCAGGGGAAGGGTCTCAATGGCACTGCCTACCTTTTCCACTCTAGCTACCATTGCTTCAGGGTTTTCTCTTACATATTTTACTCCTTGTGACTTAGTCTGTTAATGCCTTAAAGGGATTTTTAAATTACTTCTGAAATTTCTGTAGCTCTTTGTGTTCATTGTGAAACAGAACATTATATTTTTCTTGCTGGGAGAGGAGGGGTTTCCTCCCCCCTTTCTTGTTACTGCTAACCCCTTGCTGTTTAGACTGTTTATCCCTGCCTACTTTTCTTTGTGCTTTCCCCACTATCTGAACACCTGGAACAGGATTTTCTGGCACTGCAGGACTTGCCTGTGGCTGCAGGAAAGAACAACACCAAAACTAACAGTCTCACTGTCTTATTCATACTTAACAATTAGTGAATGAGGCTGAGTATCTTATGAAGAATTATGGAGATCAAGGAGGGTGTTACCCAAGGCGGATAACACCCTCCGTGATCTCTATAATTCTTCATATGATACGAAAGCTAAATTCAATAATTATTTTAATATTCATTCAAAATAATTCCTAGTTTAAAAACATGGCTAAAACATGCTTACTTCCATCAATCGCGATGTTAAGTTCCTCTTTGTTAGTGCACGTTTAGGGTTGTTCAGCTCAGCAAATATTCCCCAAATAGCAGATGTCACCCTTGGAGTTGTCTTCTTGCTGTTCTTGCCATGTTTTTAGCTATTATTTCGCCTAGTTCTTACTCTTGAAATGAGTGAAATGTCTGCCTTTAATGTTTGCACCACTAAAACAACTCAACCTCGTCCCCAGGTCTTCTTAGTTGGCTACATGTTGCTTAACTGTGAATTTTTGAAAGAAAAAAAAACAACAACAACAAGAAAATTAAGTCTTACCAGCAATCCATTTTATTTTAAAATTGTGTGAGACAAAACAACAGTGGCTTCTCCAGTTAAGCTCTTAATTTAAGGGTTAGGGCAAGCACCTCCATTACTGCAGAGCAGAGTTTCTATAGCTACTTCACTTGGATTTGCTCCTTGGCCGCCTTAGATGTTAGTTAGAGTTGGAGTAAGGGACGTCTTCCTCTTGCAGTGGCAGACCCAAGGGGAGGGTCCGGGAGTCCCCCCTATCAGACCTGACGCTTGTTTGAGATTGAAATTCTTACATCGACAGGATCGTATATCACTTTTTTACTGCCTAATTTTTTTAATGAAACGCGCGTTGCATTTTGTCACTAAACTAAATTCCAGGGACATTCAGAAATTTAATTGGTTTTGGGTACCCTTCTATGGTCTGAACCAAAGTTTGGACCCCCTAATAAAAATTTCCTGGATCCGCCCCTGTCTTGTACGATTTATTCTTAACCTCAGTTATGTAAATAATGGAAAATTGAGCCTATACCAATTAAGATATAATATAACAACTTTTTGTTGGCCGTCTTCATTTTATTGATATTAAACAAAATGGCTGTTCTGTTTCAGCTTCTTAGACAATGTGAAGAGTCAGGTGCTGGTTCACAGTGTGCTGTTTCACAGCTTACGCCTACTGAATTAAGTAAAGACTCTGCAAAACAGGCATTTGAAATCTTACTGGACAAAGTGACATGTGAAGCACAGCAACATCCATTGACACTTTTTAAGCCTATGGCCTTTTCAGAAGAAATGCTAATTGAGTTTGATTGGTCCCCAACGGCAAAACAATATCTTAAGGCATTTAAACTGGTGAAAGAAGGCTTTGAAATCCTTTATAAGAGTAACTTTACTGATGGAAAGGGGATATCTCTTATAGCCCATGGGTTCTTGACAGAAAGTACAATTTTACAAGGATTCCCTCAAAGGCAATTTTTGTGGTCCAGAATCCATCAACTTAGTGATAAGATCTTGCAAACTAATCCAAATTTTTTTGAAGGGGCTCTTTTGTGGTACGCTTTTCATCCTTTTGAATCACGAGTTTCAGGGGAAAGTGCTAAAGTTGACTCAAAAAAGGTAGCATTTCTACTAAACATGATTAACTTAATCAAAAGAGCTGAACCTCACAGCTCTCCTTGCAAAAATACTTTTGAGTTTGATAAGAACTACAGTAGCTGGCTTCATGTCTTATATGTGTTTGTGGGATCATTTTATGTAGTTGCTAGTGCATACCAAGAGGCAGCTGAAGCTGCTGAGAATTCTCTCAGTTGCTGTCCAGCTTTCTTTGAAGCCAAGAGGTTGCTTGGGTTTTCCTTAAGGGCAATGTTTTCTTCCAAGTCAAACCCTGAAGAAAAAGATTCTCGACCAAATGTATCCACAGGATTGATGCCTACTCAAGCCAGTAACAGACAGACATCAAAGTATGCTTCTTGGACAACTCAAAAGTTAAAAAACACTGCGGCAAAGGTGTTAAAGGAGTTTCTTGTTGAGGCCCCACCATGTGACAGATTTTACCCAAATGTTTATTATTATCTGGCGGATCTTGCATTTGTTGACATGGACTTTCAGGAATTCAAAAAGTATTATGAACTTGGCCAAGATGCCGAAGAAAAACGACTTCCATTTTTGGATCCTGTTGATCTTGCATTGAAAGATTGGATGGCTCCTGTTTATCAGCTCCTTCCCCAAATTGGAAGCCTTGTTGCTAGGTGTGGCAATAAAGCCTGTACTAGGAAAGTCGAGAAAACTGAATTGAAGTCTTGTGGTGGCTGTGGAAGCCAACAATACTGTAGCAAGTAGGTATAATTGTTAGCCTTACATTTAAAAAATCAGTTTTGGGGACCAAAAAAGTCCCGTCGCATCAATTTTTTGCAATTATTTCATTTCTATTTTGGGTACCAACTCCGCATAAATTTTCGCGCTACCCTAAAAAGAGCCATTAGGTCGACCAAACATGAGAAGATTGTGTTTTTGATAGGATGAATGACTACTATGGGTTTTGTGGTGGTAATGATGATGGTGATGATGGTGATGATGATGATGATGATGATGATGATGAAGGGGGTGGTGGTGGTGGTGGTGGTAATGAAGATGATGGTAATGATGACAGCGATGGTGATGATGATGATGGTGGTGGTGGTGGGTGTGATGATGATGATGATGAATAGGGTGGGGGTGGTGGTGATGATGATGGCGATGGTGATGATGATGATAGCGATGGTGATGATGATAGCGGTGGTGATGATGGTGGTGGCGATGGTGATGATGGTGGTGGTAATGGTGATGGTGGTGGTGATGATGATGATGATGATGATGATGATGATGATGATCATGAGGGCTTTTGAAATCAAAATTAGTTTCTGGAAAGTCCTAGTGATGTTTCGGTCCCCAAGCAACTATTAAAATAAAAACTTTAAGAATAAAAGTGTGTGTCCTAGGTAATACACCAATCCATTCCGTTTTGTAAACTGATGTTTTTATTACAGAGCATCTGGAAATTAATCAACTCTCATAACTGAAACGTAACAGTTTTGGAAGAGTAACCCTTGATGTCTTGTCATCATTTGCAGAGACTGTCAAAGAGCGGACTGGAAAAATCACAAAGCTTCTTGCAAAGCACACAGAGGACTCAAGGCAAAATATTCTACATAGAAAACTGTTCTTGTTTTGAGGATCATAAGAATTCCAAACCCTTCGTTCAGGCCCCTTTGTCTTCTAATGGCGACTGTCCATTAAACATAACGACAGCGGCCGTGGTACATGCTCTGTATGCTTATCAGCTAAGTCGTTTTTCTTCTATCAGGGTTCGTACAGAGTCTTGAATTCTTGAAAAAGTGTTAAAATTTGCCCAGCAATTTTACAGACCTGGAAAAAGTCTGGAAATTGGAGATAAAATCTGGAAAAAAAGGTAAAAAGAGGGCTTTTTTTTTCAAAGCTACAACAAGTGCTTTATAAGTTTTGGTCAAATCTTATTCAATCTCTCTCGTATGTTTGCAGCACACCACGAAAAGAGCTTTGTTGCTGCGTTTTTTAAGGTCTCTATTGATCACCTATTTGATAACCTTGAGTCTGAAAAGGAAATTATTGTTTTGGAAAAAAAGGCTTGAATTTTGGATCCAAAAATCTGCACGAACCTATTCTATGTTTAATCGCGTCGTTTCGTAAAAGGACATTGAGAACTGAATTAAGGGTGGTTTTCACTAGCCAGGGAGTTAGAGTCATTAGCGGAGTCATAATGGGAGTCATAGGTCATAAGTCGGAAGAATGAGAACATTCCCTTTTTCTTCTGACTCCGCCACTTCTAGCGTAAAGTAGATTGTCGGAGTCGGAAGCAGAAGCGGAAGGATAGCAGCAGCCACAACAATAATCTTTTATTTACACACTCTAAGAATTTTTACACGACAAATGTTGTGTGCAATAGGAGTTTAAGATAAGATAACAATTAAAAAATTAAAATTAAGTAATTGCTTGGAGCCTCGAGTCTAAAGGAAGTAGGAGGCTATTTAAGTTCATTTCTTTTTTAAAAAAGAGAAACAAGGCTAGAAGAATTGGGCCTGGTAAATTATGAATAGTTACGTTTGAATTAATACTAAGTTTCTATTCAGTTTTCTTGGAGTATTGTTCTGACAGCAAATAACGTAAAGGAAAATGTACATGTGTCTTTTAGGTGATAAGGAATATGGCACAAGAGATCTATTGCCTTACCCGATTCGGGACATCAATCACAAGAACCAACCACAATGCCGTTTCCACGCTTTGTGATTGGTTAAGTTCTTCTGCTTGGGACTCCGACAATCTAGTTATGATATAGACAAGATCATAAACGACGGAGTCGTAAGAGGAATCGAACGCTTTTTTCACTGGATAGTATAACTCTACGCTTGATAACGACTCCGACTTAGACTCCCTCGCTGGTGAAAACCAGCCTTTACTCAATATACCACTACACTGAGCTCTGCTTTTGAAGACAATAGCAACTACAGTAGCTCTGATGATGTATTTTGGATTTGTTTGTTCTAACTAAGGTGCGGTTCAAATTTCACATGGCCCGAATTTTATGCTATTGAGGAAAATCTTTTGTTCTCGCTCATTTAAATTAGATTCGGCACACGTGAAATGCGACGTTTGAACCGGGTCTTAGGCCCGTTTTAAACATCATGTAACTACCGTGCTAAACTTGACTGATTAAATAAATTCGACTTTAGCAAGGCAGTAGCACGACTGGTTTCAAACGTCGTGCAACTGCCGTGCGAACTCAATTTATAAATTATGGATACATTAGAACACATTTTCACAGTTGGCTATTAAAACAACGTTTTTTTTACGTTTGATTTACGACAATAGGTTTTTCATGCGGCTGAATTGATTTCAACGTCTGAAATCAAGTCGTGCTACAATCGAGCCAGCTTAGCACGGGCCACGACAAAACAGTGACCCCGGTTAACATAACGTATGAAAAGGGCACGTATGCTCAGGATGATAACGTTTGAAGTAAGAATTCCTTATCTGAAATTGAATTAACGCCTTGCTCCCACATTTACAGTTTCTGTGAGCCCCGTCTACACGAACCCGGATATTTTTGAAATCGCATAATTTTTATACGCCGGAATCGGCCCGTACCTCCATGCGAAACCAGTGAATCCACTCACCGAAACCGAATCTTTTTTAAACTGCTCTCCAGTTCTCTAGAGTGGATTTTTCTGGATCAGACCGATTTGGCAAATTCGTTTAGACGACTGAAACTGGATATGTTTTAACTACGCCATAAACACGGGTCCAGACTTAAAAGAAACCTTACAAATTCAAAATGGCGGACAACAGCCTTCTTTTTACTTGGATACGGACAGTTTCCGTATATCAGAATATTTGGGTTGAAGCGATTGCCAGTCGACGATTTCCATTGACTTCGATACCTTGTAGTCGGTGGTTATTTTTAGCAAAAGTTCGCCTTCATCGTCGCTCCAGACGAATGAATCGGCCTTTGCCTCGTTATTTCTTAGGATGTGAAATGTTGATTAAGAGCGCTAGGCCCAGGAAAGTTACAGCCAGTGTGTGCTCGATATAGCTACAACAACATGAAAAAATGCCGCGAAATCACATCCCATGCTCGATTTGGGCATGCCCACTAGCAAGTAGGTAGTTAGCAAATGGAAACCGTCTGGATGTGTGAATCTAAACCGGATACACCTCACCGAATTCGTGGTGACGAATGTCAAGTATACGATTACTGCCTATCCGGATTCGTGTGGCCGGGGCCTTAACCTGTCACCGCAGCTACGATAAATCGAATTAAAGAAAAGCAATCATCCAAACAACCGATGCTGATAAATTAGTTTCTTGTGACAAATATTAATCTACATGTATGCTGCATAAACATATAGGTAATTACTTTAAAATAGCAACCTCAGTATATCAGGTGGTTTTCACGTTCATACTTAGTAAACCACTTTACTTGTATTTACACAATAATTATCCCCTAATTATTTGCGCCAATTTTTTACATCGTCGAATTCTACGTATAGTCTACGTAACAGTGATTTCGTTTTACCCAGGTTTAATACTATCTCATACGGTAACAGTCTATTAAATATCTTGGACCGAGGTTGTGGTCCAAACTGCTTAAGGAAGTTAGAAACCTCAGGTCTCTTTCTGAATTTAAAACCAAAATCCGCAAAAATGATCTTTCAGTGATATAAACTGATTACAGTTCTCAGAGTGCTTTCTGTGAAATACTTAAATTATTTGTTATATTTTAGTCACCTGTTGTACTACATACATATTATTACATCAGAGTACCTTTAAATCAGAATGCCTTCAATGATTTATTATGCATATTCACTTATTATGCTACATCAATACCACGTAAGTGCCTTTACTTTAACATTCCGATCCTATTAATAATATTTTAAGAAATTGGCGTAGGTCTCTATTGTCCCCAATTAGTGGTTCTTTTTAACTGCTACAATGACTGTGACACTGTAATAAAGTTGTCATTATCTTATCTTATCTTACAAACTAGGGTCTACCTAAAACAGCACATAGGTTTTGATTCATACGCGAAGCTGCTGCGACAGAAGATGTTTTGAAGAATCGGATAGAAACCTCTGAACCCTGTAATATTACGTAACCCGAGAAATCAGCTGAGGAAATTATGACCACCTCCACGACCGAGGAACATTGAACTTTGATGTCATCAGGCGGTTTCCAAATAGACTTTTCCTTCGTTCTTGTAACCAAAAGCCCCATATCGAGGCTTGTGGTGACAAAAATATACTGATTTGAATTAAATTGTTTACCCAGTCCAACTTGTTTCACAGTGGAATGGAATGCCGAAAAGGTCTGTAATCATCACGTTTAAAGGAGTAGGGCATGAACACCCCAAAAAACCCAACAACAGAATCTCAACGTATTCTTATAAAATTGTCATCAGTTGAAATTGCATATCCAAAGCGCTTCGTTTTCTAGAGATATTAAAACTTTTGGTTACTGCATTTCTCTCCCACAAAACGCCATTCCAAATATCAAAATTTACGAACACTGAGGGGGCTATTGGGGGTACAAGCTCCCGTGAACAACTTCATAGTTGTTTTGCACATTTAGAAGAAAAATGCACCGGATGCAGTGGTTAATTATTGCAGGATATCTGTAAACAAATTGAGAGAGTAACGTCAAGACAAAGGGGGCGAGTCATGAATTTTTGGACCACTACTTTTCTAAATGCTCCGTCCCCACCCCCATACTTTTTGTCCAATCTGTCATTTAATCCGAGCCTGTCAGTTTTCTCGGCCACTAAATACCGTAGTCCTGCCCCTATCTCTGTTCAAGACAAATTCTCTTCTCACTACTGGTCGTCACCCTAACCACATTGCTGTTCCTCCATTATTGCTCAAGGAGCCCCTTTCCAATCGTTATCTGGTTTATAGCTCTACTTTAAATTTTCTCTCTGTGCTCAGCACTTCTGCTTCCATATATGACGGGGTTACCCCCTTGTCCTTTGATTGCAGCTGTGTAAAGAAAACGAAGATGTTCTTCTTGACCAAATTTACTTGGACAATGGCTACCAATCCTGATACGGAGCCAGGTGGTCGAGAAAAATCATTAGTTTGTCTTCTTTTTCAGCAAAGATGGCCCAGAAAAAAACCTGTTTACTAGTGAATTTGCTTAGCTCTTCCAAAACGCCGCATTCCATTATCACGTGGAAAATCTGTGCGCTTTGAATGCTGCAAACCAGAGTTTGGCTTTTGTCATAAAGGAACATCAACTGCAACGGATGGCTATTAAGATGCTGGGTTTGAATCTTAACCATGAACTTCTCGTTTCGATTGGGTTTAGGGCCTTTTCTCGTACCTTTTAAATAAAACCCATGTCTTAACAGTGAGGTTTCCCCTAACTCTGCAAGAGGAATAATTCTGACCGTTACAGAATAACGACTTTTCAGGGCTATGCACAAAGTAGTGTGTGTCGGCCAGTGTTTGCGTTGGCATTCTTTGCTGCAGTAAGAAGCAATGTGACACGTTGGACACTTCATAAGGTGAATTTCCACATCACTTGAGCGGCGGCAAAATGTACATCCATTGTAAACTCGCTCAACAACCTCTCTCGGGTGATACATGCCTTCCTTGTTGTTAAATACTTTGTTTCCAGCGAGAATGGGAGGTTTTGTGTAAATCTCGGACTTTTCTCCTCTTGGAATGTAAACAGGGTTCCTTATATCGCGCGACAAGAATCTTTCATCAACAGGAAAACTGTCAATGTTTTTTGGAAACT